TGGTAGTAGGAACTGAGTTGTGTGGACCAGCTTACCTGTACATCTTTGTACAAAGTAGCATCTCACATCACCCTGAACTTAATCACTGCAGTAGTACAGAGGGAAAGAGGAAAGGCTGGGGATGAGCTCTTTGCTAGTGTTCTGTATGTAGAAGATGATGTTCAATTAAAAAGTCAAAAGAAGAGATCAAACGTAGCCAATCCTTTGCTCTCCAGAAATAGCAATTATCCTAGATGAGCCGATTAGAGTCTTACTTGGAAATGAATACAACACAGATGATAGCAACAAGGGCACAGGGGCCAAATTCAGTTCCTAATTCCACTAGTTGCTAGTATATAAACCCTGGGAAAACGACTTGATCTCTCAGTGCCCCAGATTATTCAGCTGTGAAGGAGAAAAATTCTACCTATCACTTAGATCCCTTAGAGTTGTAAATTATAAACTAGTTATTCATGAAAAACACTATGATCCTTCCTCTCTCTCTCTTTCTCTCTCTCTCTCTCTCTCTCTGTGTGTGTGTGTGTGTGTGTGTGTGTGTGTGTGTGTGCGTGTGTTACTGAGGATCAAACTCACAGCCTTGCAAAGAGCCTTATTTCCAGCATGTTTTCTTGTAAAATCTTGGAACAGGACAGAAAGCTGTGGATAAAGCCCAGTGGTAGTATGTATGCTTGCCTTCTAGCTGACATTCCCAGTCTTCCAATCTTCCCTGAACTTCCCAGCCTTTCAATCTTCTGGGTCACAGGACCCAGAATTCCTCTTTCTCCAAAGCAACTCTTAGAAACTTGAACCTGTCTTCCAAATCAAGTCATAAAGCCTAGAAATACTACTGTACCCTTTCTGTGTAAAAGGCATCCATAAGGAAAACCTGTCACCTGCCTTGCCTGATAGTAGGTCATAAGAGGCATCCAGAGGTTCTACCCTACATCTGGCAGAAAGGAGTGTTATACAGTAAGGCCAAGAAGAATATGGAGAGACAGGTCTTGATGGATCCTACCCCCTCATTCTTTTACCATTAGATCAAACGCATTTTGGCCAATCACACTGACCACATTTCTACATGGCTGTCCATTCTTCATCAAACTTAAGCATAAAAAGTTTTCCCAGGGTCTTTGGGTCTTTATTTCTGAAGGATTTGCATTATGTAAAACTGTGTTTAGCAAATTTCTTGTTTTTTCTCTGATTAATCTGTCTTTTATCAGCAGAGTGTTGACTGTGACCCCCACAAATGACAAATTGGTATTTACCTTTCTGTCCATGCATTATATATATATTTATTATTCATTATTATTAGCTTTGAGTTATGAAATGTGCAGTCTGTCCTGAGTAGGAGTAGAAATGAAAGATGCCATAAAATAGGGTTGGGTCATGGCAAATCAATTTTACCTGCATGCCAAAGCTGTGACAGAAAAGAAGCCAGGAGAAGCAGAAGCAGCCTGTCAGTAGAAAGACATTAGAGTAAGGTCCTGGGGCCCAAGAGGGTGTAGCCCCAAGAGGTGCCTTAGCGCCTAAAGCACACAAAACCCATTGTCTTACTGTGTAACAAACTCTATTCTCTTTAAGGACTTCTTACAACCCATGGATATAGCAAGTGAGGGCCCACAGACTGAACAAAACATGATGCTTGGTTCAAAGAGTGCTCTATTGGTATTTGTAAACTGTCAATGTAAAACAGCAATGTATACTCAGATGGTTTCAATACATATATGGGCATGTACGGGAGCCAAGAAGCCCCTTAACCTATTCGGAGAGGTAAGTGGAAGGTGGGAAAGGCTTTCGGGAGGGCATGATGTCAGGGATGTATCATAAAGTATCAGCAGGAGAGTATATGGAAGAAGTCAAAAGAGGTCAACAAAGAGAAGGGGAGGCTGTGGAGAACTCTCTGAGTAGCTATAGGTGAGAAGTCATCAAGCCTAAAATGGGGCCAGGTTAGTGGGGACAGGCAAGGAAACAGAATTCTTAAACATTTCTGAGGCTCACTTGTCAATGCTACATTGTTATTTAGATCTTACCTTCATAAAAGGATCGCAACACAGTATGGGGTAACTAATGTAACTTCAAGGGGGTTCCCCCAAAATCAGCAACACTGAAAGGTTACTGCACACAGAAAGACCAAAAGTATTTCAAAATCAAATGTCACGAACCTGAGCGGTTCTGGAAGTGTTTGCTGTGTTGCATTGTGCAGCCTCGAGGTGATCTTGGTTCTGAGCACACGATGCATGGCCATGCCATGGCACCAAACCAGTAAATGCTGCTTGAAATGCCCCAGCTGAGCTCTGAGACTAAGAGTGTTATGAATTTCAGTGCGCTTACTCTGCATACAATATGTTCTGTGCTATCAGAAAAATAATGGTCTATACTTATGGAAAATAAAGTCTTGTTTCCTGACATAATTCCTCCTCATGCAAGTTTTAAATTCACATATCTTTGGATTGTAGTGTGTGAGGATGAATGTTTGATTGTTAAAAACTTCTGTTTGAGTTGCCTGATTTTCATTTTAAAAAATGTTAAATGAGCTAAGCAAGGTGGTACATGCCTATAATCCTAGTACTCAGGAGGCAGAGACAGGCAGATCACCGCAAGTCTGAGACCACCCTGGTCTGTGTGTGGCAAATTCCAAGCCAGGCAGAGCTACAGAGGGAGCTCTTGACTGCCCACCCCCCTAAAAAAAGAAATAAAAAAAAAAAAAAACATTAAATAGGAAACTGAATAGATGGTTTAGTCAGCAAAGTACTTGTCACACAAGCATGAGGGTCCAGGTTCAGATCCCTAGTACCCATAATGAAGCCATGTGCAATGGTGTGTGTCTTTAACCTCAGCACTGGGCCACAGGAGGAGTTACAGGCTTGCTAGCCAGCTAGTCTGCCTGAATTGGTCGGTTTTGGGTTCAGTGAGAGACCCTGTCTCAAAAAATAAGGTGGAAAAGAGATTAAGACCCTTAATGTTGACATCTGGCCTCCATATCCATGCATGCGCCTGCACACACGTGTGCACACACAGGAACACACACATGTGTGCGCACACAGGAACACGATGTGTGCACACACAGGAACACACACGTGTGCACACACACATAAATTTTTTAATGAATTTTGCTTGGGATTAAGGACAGAATTTCCAATGGTTTCTGAAATGGCAGTAAACATACATCTACCATTTTGTACTACATAGTTATAGGAAACTATTTGGCAATAACTGGTTAACTCTGAAAAATGTTGAAAATGGTCTACATTTGCATTAAATATTCAGTCAAGATTTCATTCTTTTTTTTTTTTTCAT